TTTTAAACAAAAAAAAAACGGTCATTTTTTTTTTTTTACTTTATAATAGAAAGAAAGATAGATAAAAGATTTAATAAAGTTTTTATCGTCCGGTTTTTTATTTTCTCTTTTGTATAGTTTTGTTTTATAAAGTACACTTTTTAATATTCTTTAATATCAATTTAAACTGTTCAATATACCTTTATATTTTTATCCGATTTTTTCTATTCTCATCATCCTGGCATCTTTTCTTTGTAATTATAATTCTTGACTTTCGTCTTTTTCGTCTTTTACGTTGGTCTTGGATTTTTTCGCGTTTTATCATTTTACATATGCACTTATAAAAATTTTATTTTCAAAAGATTATTTGCAAAGTTATTTTATTATTATTATTATTATTATTATTATTATTATTACTACTGTATATTCATTAATGTTCTGATATAATTCATACGTACATATCTACATTTATTTGCTTTATTTACGTGAATTTTTTTTTACAAGTTTATACAACTTCTCCGCCGGACGGCATCATATCAACTTCTTTTTTACATGAGATATTCTTTGAACGATACTCCAAATAGAATCGATTTATTTAAATAGATTCGATTTATTCGATTTTCAATTTTCCGATTTAAAATTTTCTTTTTTATTATTATATATATACAAATTCGAAATCTTTGTTTCACGTTTACTTACACGATCAATAAGAAACGAATCGAATTTACTAAAACATCAATCACCCACCACCCATTTATCTAAATTTCTCGATTTGTGATACCCTATCAATTCATATATCTTGCAACTTTTTTTTTTTTTTTAATTTCAACTTTGAATATCTATTTCGAAATTTTTTTCGAAATTTTTTTCTTTTCATTTTAAATATGTCTTTACCCATTAATTGTTTTTGGTCTCTTTTATCACTAAGAGACCTAAGTTTCGTTTATATTTCTCCTTGGCTATCTAAAGCTCTTGGTCCTAACCATGACTCTTTATTGGGTACTTCGGTTTTTGACTACTTTCATCCTCAAGATCGTGAGTTGGCGCGTCGCGACTTGTCAGAGTTTGTCAAAATGAAAACAATAACCTGTTCGATAACAAGGTATTACTTATTACTATTTTACTAAATCATTATTCTTATTATCCTTATCATTACGTTATTACTATCATTATACTATTATTATATTATTACTATTATCTATTATTATCATTATTATTGTATTACTATTTTACTATTATATTATTATATTATTATATTATTAATATTAGCAATTATCCTTTTTTAACTTGTTACGCGTTCTGATAACATCAAACGCGTGTTTTTCCTTTTCTTTGACGTTTTCATGTCATGCAAAGAATATATTTATTCCTTAAAGACAAATTTTATCTCCTACTCAAAAAAAATATATTTATGATTGACACGTGACCTCTTTTAAACAGATGTCGATATAATAATGTTTCAGCGATAAGAAAGATATTACAATCTCAAATTCCTTCAAATAAAGGTTTTCCTCCTTCAAAATTATCGACTCCTTATCAAGATGATGATGATGATGATTATATAATAATGCATCTAGGAATGACTGTAGTTAGTCATGATATCGTTCTTGCTTGCTTTCATCCTGATGATGGTAATCTTTATTTATTATTTATTTATTTATTTATTTATTTTTAAATATTAATATTAATATTAATGTTATATTTGCTTTTTATTTAAAATATAGCAAAGCCAAGTAATTGCTCTCAGAATTCTTGTGGTGAAACTGAATTTACAAATGATGTACGTTTCGTCTTCTCAAATAATTACATAATAATTTGATATTTAACATATCAGATATAATAATTTTTATATTTACATATAATAATTTTTATATTTATATAATATTTTATATTTTAATTTTAATAATTATTGCTTAATAGGAATTGAATAAATTGTCTTCACTTTTACGTAAACATTCATCCTTTGGTTTTTCCAAAGTACAAACTCCACCTGCAACTCCATTTCCAGAAAACAAATCATTACCTAGCGGTAATAATTTTTCGCCAAATCGTATTTTTCAAATATTAGATAGGAATTCAAGGAATTTAATTTTCACTTGGCCTGATCCAAGTTTTGTTCCTGGTACTGATATCCCTTATGATAAGGATGAATTCTCTAGATTATTACAAAATTCTTCTATAAATCATTGTAATTTTATAAGTGGGAAAGATAGGATTGATACTCAATCCCCTAGTTGTATGAGACCAATTTCTAACAAACATAATATGATTTCAACTTGTGGAAAATCCGAACAAGTCGAAAGCGTTATGATTCCTTATGGAATCATTATTTTCGCTTGTTTTCAAATTTTACCTTTGACTTCTTCCGTTTCATTCGCTTCTCCTCCTTACAAGCCTCAAAAATCTTTGTCTGCTCCTTGTTCTCCTCCTACCACGAATGGTACGACTAAAAGACCAAGATCTCCTAATTCTTCTCCTGGTTCTTTATCTCCAACTTATTACTCCGATTCGGGTAGTAATGGTGCTTGTGGTTATAATTCTGGTCATCCTTATCCTTATCGTCCAGAAATATCGGAATTTATTCCTCCAACAAGAGCTTCAAAACGAATTCGTCCAAATGATGTCTCTCCTATACCTCATCACCTACCGAATCCTGTTTCTCCTCATGATTCACCTGTTTATCAAGACCAATATCCATTCCCTTCAATGTCACAATCTCACAATGATCAAAAATTACCAACTATATCACATCAACAAATTTATTTTGCTCAACAACAACAACATCATCAATATCCATCAAATCCACATCCTCCACATTCACAACAACCATCACATTCACAACAACCTCCGCATTCACAACATCCTCCACACTCACAACATTCACAACATCCTCCGCATTCACAACATCCTTCACATTCACAACATTCACAACATTCACAACATTCACAACATTCACAACATTCACAACATGTTGTAAATTCATATCCTTCTCCTACTTTCTTACCACAACATGATAATAACGTTATTCATCAACGTCCTAATCCACCTCCACCTTCTTCACAACCTCAACCTGTTCCCAATCAGGGTACAAATTTTTCTCAATTTCCTCCATCACAACGTAGAACTACTCCTGCCATTAATGGTACTAAAAAATGTGAAAGTTGTCATACAAGTTCTAGTCCAGAATGGAGACGCGGCCCAACGGGTCATAAAACGTATGTACTTTATTCGTTTTAATTTTTCATTTTAATTCATTCATTTTAATTCATTCATTTGAATCCATTCATTTTAATTTATTCATTTGAATTCATTCATTTTAATTTATTCATTTGAATTCATTCATTTTAATTTATTCATTTGAATTCATTCATTTGAATTCATTCATTTTATTTGAATTCATTCATTTGAATTTATTCATTTTAATTCATTCATTTGAATTTATTCATTTTAATTCATTCATTTGAATTTATTCATTTTAATTCATTCATTTTAATTTATTCATTTTAATTCATTCATTTGAATTTATTCATTTTAATTCATTCATTTTAATTCATTTTAATTTATTCATTTTAATTTTATTTATTCTAACACACTCTAACAAACACACTCTAACATATTTCCAATACATTCTAATACTATAGTCTTTGTAACGCATGTGGGTTAAGGTATTCTCGTACGATAGCTCGCGAGATTCGTAAACGTGAGCAAGCTCAACGTGAACAGGAGCAACGGATTCGAGAACAACGTGAAGGCGAAGAACGTGCCCGCGAAAGAGCTGCTGCTATCATGATGCAACATGTTATTGAACCTCCTTATAATCAATATAGGCCAAATACAAATATAACAGGTGTGGTACCACCATATCAACTTCCACATCATAATTATCATCATCATCAATCGTCTTCAACTTATCACCCAACATTACCACCATTAAGTAATCAACCACAAAGTCACCCTTCAC